CTTGTGGCATGACGAAGTAAAGGATCTCACACAAATATGTTGAAGGAAATCTGTCGTGATGTCAGAGTAAAACCGACCCTCCTTCCATTGGACGGTGAGAATTTCCAACATAGTACTTCAAACACATCCAACGAAGCTCGTGTTGACGTCAGTGCTCGAGGATTCTGAACGCCGGGACAGCGAGCCTTCTTCGACATCAGGATTTTTTATCCCATAGCCGCATATCAATGTAACTTAGCTCTCGATGCTGCACACAGGTGGAACAAGAACGACACGATAATGGAATACGGGGAGAGAATTCAGAACGTTGATTAAGGCAACTTCACTAATCTGGTGTTCACAACCTCTGGTGGGATGGGACCAAGCTCAAGATGTTGGTGTGGGGATTAGTGGATGACATCATTATGACCTGACCTCATGTTTAATAAGGTCACCCTGTATATATAAGCCTCTCTCTGTCCATGTAATCCAGTTGCCTCTGAAGATGTCTTGAATAAAGACGAAAGCTAAGGTGCTCCGTTGTTTCCCTTTTTCCGTGTGATTTTATCAAGGTTTATCTTATCCACGTTTTCAGTGTGGATCTACATGATATATATATATTATATATATATATATATATATATATATATATATATATATATATATATATATATATATATATATATATATATATATATATATATATATATATATATATATATATATATATATATATATATATATATATATATATATATATATATATATATATATATATATATATATATATATATATATATATATATATTTTACCGAATGCAGCTGGTATGAAACACGAGGTACCATATATGCTTCATTTTTAGTCCATATAACACGTGGACTTGAACATACAATCAACGACCTCACCAGCCTTTTGTTATATGGACTAAAAATGAAGTATATATGGTACCTCGTGTTTCATACCAGCTGGATTCTGTAAAATGCTACTCCCACCACATAAGTGGCACGGGCAATCCTCAATGGGAGGTTCACGGCGCCATCAGCTCGATGAACAGGCTTTCTGTGAAATAAAACATAGTCTAGGGTTGCTTTTAGTGTCCTTGTGGCATGTTGGTAGTGTTCACTGGTCACGCCCATTAGGTCTCGGGTTCGAATCCTGGCTGGTGAGGTCGTTGATTATATCTTCAAGTCCGTGTGTTATATTGACTAAATATGATATATATATATATATATATATATATATATATATATATATATATATATATATATATATATATAGTAATTTTATACTTCTTCTCCAGCCTTTAAATTTTCGTCCTCGTAGTAACAATTACAACAGATTTTCTATGAATTTTAGCTGTACTAAAAATTTACCGCTTGGTTTCATTCACTTTCATTGTTTCCTACATGCTGTTTCATCCCAGTTATTGTCTCCTCTTTCCACATTTTAGCCAACAAATTGGTAATGGTGAAACTTGTGGCCAATATATCCACCAAAATACCGCTTCTTCAAAAACAATGCCTGTTCCCACAAGGGTAATTGGATCGTAATTTTCCATGTCCTCACTGCCATTCACTGAATCCTTTACATCTATCATGGAAAATAGTATCGCAGACAAACATAGTCCACAATGAAGGGCTTCTTATGTTTTGTTTTGTTTTTGTCATTTGCAATAGACTGGGTTTGATTAAAGTTGGAATAAGAACACACTGATATATTTACATCATCACTGCCTCTCTCTCTCTCTGTCTCTCAACAAATTATCTTTGCCAAGAAAATATGTTTTCACGTGATATTTTACTTGAACCGAAGGACGAGTGTTCGTAACAGCCTCCCATTTGCCCGAGACAACCAAAACAATGTTCTAATCTAACTCATAATGATTTAACTTATATGTTATACTTCTCTTTTATCATTTGATAAAATTTGGGCAAAGATTGGTAACCTTAGTAATTTATATTTAAGTTTTCTCTCATAAGCAGTTGGTTCAAAATGACGACTGCATATCCGAGCATTAGCAGTATTGATGTTGTCTTTTTTCTTGCAGAGGTTAATCCACTTGTGTCTTAGTTCTTCATCTTTAGGAAATGTATGGCAGTGCATATTCCCCTCTCATTTGAACAAAGAATTGCACCCAAACATTACACAATTAGCAGACATAATGTAACAGAGAATATTGTGGCAGCCCTGGTTGTAGTTTCGTTGTCAATTCATTAATCTAATTTCTTCATTATTTAAGCAAATATACGGACTTATGGTACGTATCATGATCGTGAATAATAATGAATAGTTAATTAATATAAAAATTTTACCTTTGGATTGTTAATATTTATCCTAACAGTGATACAGCCGATAATTATCCCCATTACATACAGCCTTACTTTACCAAGTATTGCCAGGTAAAATTACGAGTACGAGAGCCAGGTTTTGGTCGATGGAACTTTGGCTGACTGTTCAGTCGTGGTCAATAGTAATCACCCACTCAACCACCTAACTCCTGCGCTTGGCCGGGTCCTTTCTGCATGGTAAGTCAGATGGGGTGGAGAAAGGGAATGATCGACTTGGGGAGGGTCGTTTTGTTGGTGTGGGAGGGGGGGGGTGGTATGCGATGCAAATTGCTCAGCAAGGAGAGAGGGAGTTGATGAAAGCAGGGAAATTCACGAGAGGACCCTTATTTTATGATTATTATAATGTGCCATACATGTCCTTATTTATATATTTTTTTTCAGTTTGTGGTTCAGGTTTTAAACAAAGGTAATTATATATTTATAATAACGTTTATATGAGGAGAAATATTGAATACTAGGGTAAAAATCACTTTTATTTTTAATATTTACCAACACACGTCAATGGCAGATCCAATGTCCTTGTAACAAAAATGTGATTATATGTCCCTATATTGAATGTAAAATTTTTAATGTACCAACTTACTCTTTCATTGTCTTTTTAATTATTTATGTTTATTTACTTATCTATTCATATACTTATTCTTCTTTCTCTTTCGTTACACCCGTGAGAGGTGGAGAGGGTGAGGGAGCTAATTGTTTATGGTTGCGGTCGGCTGGTGATATAGGCATACAGTTGGCCCTCCCACACACACACACACACACACACACACCAGCCAGGGTAGACTCAGCTGGAAGGCTGGTTAGGGGAACCAAGATACAACACTTCACCTATGGAAATATAGGATAGTTATTGTATACAGGACTCACCGTATTATTGCATAACTCCAAAGACATGCATGACAACGTTTTAGTCAACACAAGATATTTGAGGACTAATCATAATGGCTCTTCATTTATTAACGACATTACTCAAATTGAACAGTTACACTTCAAAACAATAAACCTATGCTCCTAGCTAGTTAAACGGGGACCATGACTCACAATACATTTCGGGAAACGGAACAAACCCAATAGGTACTCACATTATAGCTGCCATATGAGGAGGTGACACCCAGGACACAACCACACTTAACTCTGACCAAACACTGACTCCGCTATTCAAACCGAGTGAACCCACAAGGGACGCCAAAACTTTCATGACATCACGCCTCATAGGCCTTCTCATTGGTCGAAGACAGGCCTAAGGCCTTCATACTATTGTCTTAAAATTGGCGGGAACTCTCAAGTGGCGGGAAGCTCATGACATTGTTACATCCTTCTCGCCTGTCAATTGTGGTTCCCCGATCTAAAATTATATAATTTATATGAATTTAGAGTCCAAATATGTTTGGTTTACATTACACACTCAAAATTATTTATTTTAACATATCAAATGTCACCAAACCATCAAAGATTCTCACCGCGTCTAGTTTCCCAAGTTCCCAGACTTCCTCACAGAGGGTTAACCAACGTTTCACAGTCTGCCTTGTGACCCCAACCTCCCTTGCAGATTCTGAAACATTATTGACCGCCATACGCAAACTGATAATTTGACCGCGACTCGCCATCAACGTTCTTTAACGTCCATCCTGGGCTGGGTGTGGATCAGTTGCTAAACTCCATTGCCATTACCACCTCGTCACCTCTCATTGATTTTCACAACTCTGATAAACATATTATAGAATGAACAAGTCACATTCTATCCAACAATTAATTCTTAATTTTTGTACGAACATTTTCTGTTTTTTCAAGAATGGTAGTAGCGAGAGGTGGAAGTGATCAAGAATCAGTCTATTGTACAGTAGAGTTACTGGAGGTAAAAAGTGCTGAATGCAAAGCCACGCCCCTCCTCGTTTATGTGTTCATAATTATCAGGGTCTCTCCCTCACAAGACCCAGACACCTTATCAACCCTAATGACACATTACCTGCCAAGGGCTCACTCACATTCTTCCCCAGAATCTCAAGTAGAGGGAAAGTTAACTCCATTTTGACACCTCTCCTTCACTTCCTCGGACACTCGACCACCTGGTTGGTTAGTTGGTTGATTTGGTTGGTTGGTTGGGCTTTAGGCCTATCAACTGTCAAGGTTATTAGGGACGTCAACGTCAGGCTACATCCACCAACCTTATCACCTTCTTCAGGTGTTAAGGCTAATTCTAATACCACATACACTCTCGCTGCATATGTGGTCCTTGACTTGTGCCCTCTTACCTTACCCGGGTCCTCCAACCCGAGCTCTTCCCTCAACAATACCTCCCCCCCTAGCTCTCCCACATCAATACCTCCCCCTAATTATCCCCCCATCAGTACCTCTCCCTTAGCTCTCCCCCTATGAATACCTCCCTCCCCCCTAGCTCTCCCACATCAATACCTCCCCCTAATTATCCCCCCATCAGTACCTCTCCCTTAGCTCTCCCCCTATGAATACCTCCCTCCCCCCTAGCTCTCCTCCCCATTAATACCTCCCCTTGCTTTTGTGACCCACCGTGTAGAAGGGCCTGGAGCTCGCAGGATTAGTAGTTGGACGGGTGGATGATTATTTTTGACTGCAACAATATACTATACGTATCTGTGTTGTGTTATCTTAAGATTTATCCTTTTTTTAACTTAACCTACTGTATCTACTGACAGGAGCCTTGTGGACTATCGCACGAGGAAGGCTCACCGTTATGTAATCCGTGACCGTGACTTGCTCAAGTACCTGGCCGGCCTGGTGGTGTTCATCACAGGTTACCTGGCCGCCTGGTCTGCCCTCACAGCCCACCTAGCCACTGAGGGACACTCACCGCTTGCTCTAGGACGCACTAGTGAGGGCCTGGCCTTCAGTGTCTGTAAAAGTGTCTGGTGGGAATATGTTACAGAGACTGGTGAGTTCTGGCAGTGTTTAGTTAAGGATACCTCATTCATTGGAAGGTCCTGTTGAAATGTAATAGAATGTAAATGTACTTTATCTCAGAAACTAACCTTGTTTTGTAATTTTTAGGGTAAAGGTTCGGATTATGCCATAAAGGGAATTTGATTACAGAAATATTTTTTTCATGTGAACATGATTATTATTTTCTTCCCTAATGCATATATAACGGCTCAAGTTTCACTTCCATACATCCCATTCGATTTAAGGTTGAGTAGTGAACTTAGGTATTGCATTCAACAGACATTGGTAATCTGTTTTATTTGTACATAATCATTAATTATGAAGTAGATAAATCTGCAACTGTAGTTCGAGTATCTTGTACATTTAATGCCCTAAGATAAAAACGTATTATGTTATAACAGACTTTCTTTCTAACTGTAAATGCAAGATCAGTGGTTGAATTGTGTTTTTAACCTGCAGGCGAACTTCTCTTCATTCTCTTTGGTTTATATCTCGCATGGCACCTCAACAAGGCTGCAGGAAATTCCGGCGATCCCAGTGAATTTTCAGAACGGCGAGCCTTAGCAAGTGCCCTCGTGTTGGAGTTTGTCGCATCAGCCATTCTGTACGTCGGCCGTCACCTTGTCTGGCTACGGGCACACCCTGACCATGTGTTCCTGGCATATTTTGCACGAACACACTTGACTGTCACTCTCTCCCTTTTGATGATCCTCACCCCAAAGGTTAGTCTCTTTCCTTTTGCCTTTATTGTTCACTCTAATTATTAATTAATCTTTTCCTTCACAGTAGGAGCAGCACTAAAGAAGGATGGATTATGTGAAATCATTCTCTAACCTCTTTATTTCCAGCCAAGCCTGTATTTTATTTGTGTTAAAGGTTCAATAAAAACCCACAACGTATATACACAAATGTATATATGTTCCTCTGTCCTGGTGGTGAAACTTTGCCATTTTTTCTTAAGTTCTGGCACGAAGAACTAGTACACACACTCCCTGTTTAAAAAAGGGTTCTGTTCTTGATAAACCTTTCCTAAATCAAATCTTATTTACCTATTATAAAACTGAGATATGTTCCTAAAAAAAAACCTTCCCAGACTGTCTTAAAATGCGACAAAACATATTTTAGTGAAACGTACACAATGATTATAAGTCAATAATAAACACCATTTATTGAATAATATGCAGTACGATATGATTTCATAAGTAGGAGAAATTGTAGTGGTTGAAAGTTGAGGTGACGGTGGGGATGGAGGGTGGTGTATGGGGTTACTGACAAGTAGAAGATGGGGCAATAGTAACGCCTGCCTCACCAACATCTTCATCTTGGGTATAGGTAGGGGAGTCGGAATTCCCCTCGTCATTTGACAATGCAGGAGAAGGATCGTTTCCGCAGCTGGGTTGAGTTAGAGGCTTTACTTTTACTTTTTTCCTCTTCGCCAATGATCGGCTCATTAGCCGCTTGGGTGGTCGGTCACATCTCTGTTACGCACTGTTGGGAAGTACTGGGCATGTACTGGCTCCTGAATTTATCTGAACCTGCTCCAGTGTTGGTCAAGTCTGGTCTTGAAAGAGCTCACACTCGGTGCCGTCACAACATTCTCCGGCAAGTTGTTTCAAGAGTTCTGAACTCTCACTCCGAAAAATTATGTCATCAAAATTTTCTGGATCTGTGGCTTCTTCAACCTTGAATTGTGACCACTTGTGGGGCAGGCGTCCGCCAGCTCCAGGTATGTGTCATGCCATGACTACGGAGCAGCTGGCTAAGGACTCGTTGGCTGTTTCAAGCAGCAATTACTGACGTCAATCAACATCACAGTGCACCATAACGGGACTGGCCAATGAGACGGAACTATGAGGTGGTGCGACGGAGGTGAGCTATTAGCCCCAAATCATCAACCTGGCAGTCGGACTCCTGGCTGGCTGGCTGGCCCGGTCAACACTGGCTGCCGTGACCTGTGTGTGCTATGAGAGTCCTGCCGTGAGCTGTGTGTACTCTGGGAGTCCTGCCATGAGCTGTGTGTGCTGTTGGAGTCCTGCCGTAAGCTGTGTGTGCTGTGGAGTACTGCTGTGAGCTGTGCGTGTTATGGTAGTCCTGCCGTGAGCTGTGCGTGTGTGCCGTGGGAGTACTGCCGTGAGCCGTGTGCTGTGGGAGTCCTGCAGTGAGCCGTGTGCTGTGGGAGTCCTGCCGTGAGCCGTGTGCTGTGGGAGTCCTGCAGTGAGCTGTGTGAATCCTGCCGTGAGCCGTGTGAGTACTGCCGTGAGCCGTTGCCGTGAGCCGTGCTAGGAGTACCTGCCGTGAGCCGTGTGCTCTGGGAGTACTGCAGTGAGCGTGTGCTGTGGGAGCCTGTCAAAAGTGCTGGGAGTCTTGCAGTGAGCTGTGTGTGTTGTGCGGGTCCTGTCGAGCTGTGTGTGTGTGTGTGTGTGCTGGGAGTACTTCCGTGAGCCGTGTGCTGTGGAATCCTGCCGTGAGCCGTGTGCTGTAGGAGTCCTGCCGTGTGCTGTGGGAGTACTGCAGTGAGCCGTGTGCTGTGGGAATCCTGCCGTGAGCCGTGTGCTGTAGGAGTACTGCCGTGAGCCGTGTGCTGTGGGAGTCCTGCCGTGAACCGTGTGCTGTGGCAGTATTGCCGTGCGTCGTGGGAGTGCTGCTGTGTGTCATACCAGTGCTGTGTGTTTTAATAGTTAAGTCCACCCTTATACGTTGGAAATGCCAACCCTATCATTCTATTGGAAATAGTATAACGACTGGAGCCCGAACAGGGATAACGTTTGGGTGGACTGATTGGTGGCCGTAGACAAGTTCTCACGAAACAGTTTAGGTACGGTTACGGCTGTGGTAAGACAGGAAAGATGTCTACCTCAGAATTATTTGAAGAAGCAAAGCTGATGGGGCTCAGTGAACCTACTGAAATTAGGAATTATGTGTTGACTAGGCAAGCCGAAGAACGTGAGGAAAGAGCCAAGGAGCGGGAAGAGCGAGCCAAAGAACGGGAAGAGCAGGAAAAGCTACGCCTTCACGAGCTTTAAGTTTGGAGAATTAGAAGTGAGGAAGCTGAGAAAGTCAGGAAACACGAACTGGAGATCGCAACAGTTAAGCAGGATTCCTCCGCCCAGATGCCTGCCGTATCCTCGTTTCCTCACGTAAAACTACCAATGTTCAACGAGCAAAAAAATCATAGAACCATACATACTGTACAACGGTTTGAGGATCTGGCAGAGCTCTACAGTTTCAGTGAGTCTGTGAAATGTCTCCACTTCATGAGCCTGGTTGAGGGAAAGCCACTGGAAATCCTGCATCGTATCAACAGTAGTGAGAAGTCAGCTCTTCTTAAGGCTTATGGATTAAATTTAGAGCAAGCAAGATCCCAGTTTCTTGCTTACTACGATGCAGGACAATTTGAAAATTCTTACCCACCCGAGCTCATCTCCCAGTTCAAGATTCACAAGGTGGGGACCCTTAGTCAGATGGCTGAAATAGCAGATGCTCACTTTTCTGCAGATGGCTACCAACCAAGGAAAGAGTGACAAGGTAAGAAACCATAAGCACCTCTCCAGTACAAAGATCAGTCACAGCAAGGAAACCAGGATCTTTATCGCCAACAACATCCGCCATATCAGACTTACAAGAGGGACCAGACTAAATGGCGTTCAGGGTTTAATCACAGTGATATCTGACAACAGAAATCCGCCGCCGTTGCGTTCTACCACAACGAGGATTCTGAACCCCTTCAGAAATTACAACCTCCACCTCAGGATGACTCGGAACAGAGGCATCACAAGTTTTAACTAGCAGCCGTCTCCACACACTCTTGTCACTGGCACACCAACTTCCTTATCCAGCCTGGGTATGTAGGAAACCAAGCAGTCAGTGTTATGAGGGACAACGGATCCTCGGGCTGCGTGGTGAAGAAGACCTTGGTACTAAGCCATCAGTTCACCGGTGGGTAGATTCACGTCAAGATGATTGATGGGTCTATCACAATTGTGCCTGAAGCAAGAGTGCACGTGGAATCCTCGTTCTTCACTGGTTGGATTAATGCAACAGTTAAATCCGAGCCAATTTCTGAAGTGATATTTGGGAACATTGAAGGGGTTAGGAGTAGCTGCTTCATGGAGGCGACCACCCATACTTCTGCTGCCACCGTGACCCGACAGGTGGCTCGAACAAAACCACGTGCCATTCCACTGGTCGTTACGGCACCTTTCGACCTCATGGACAGTCAAGACGTACTGAGAGAACAAGAAACGACCCCACGCTCAATACGGTACGAAAGAACTTACTGGCAGGGACCGTTAGAAATTCTTATGGCAACCGAACAAGATTTGTCAAGAAAAGGAACCGTTTGTATCATGAGTTTGTGACACCATACCAGGAGGAACGTCTGCAGTTGTGGTTCCCGCTAAATACCGTAGGGAATTGTTCAAGATGGGTCACTGTGCTGCTCTCGGTGGTCACATGGGGTACAAAAAACTCTTGATCGCATACAGGCTGTATTATTCTGGCCTGGAATGGGGAAGGAGAAAGAGAGACTGGTGCGTTAGAGCGATATCTGCCAGAAAACCAGTGATCGTGGACGAGTGAAACCTCTAGTCCGTTACAGCCTCTGCCAGTAATTTCTGAGCATTTTGAGAGGGTTGCCGTTGACCTTGGGGGAGCCCATCAACCCTAGGGCAAGTGACGGGTCAAAGTATATTCTCACACTCATTGACTTCAGCACGAGGTGAGCCGAAACCGTACCACTGACACTATAACTCTACGAACTTTTGAAAAAACATACACCAAACAAATTTCAATGGACTTCTCACCACGAAGATTCATTCAACACCTTAAAAAATCTGCTATGTAAGCAACCAATTCTTCAGTTGCCTAATTATGATAAACCTTTCATTCTCAGAACAGACGCTTCTCTGGGCGGGATCGGAGCTGTACTTCTACAAGAAAACAAGGGCGAGGTATATCCGGTGGCATACCATAGCAGAAAACTAAAGCCTGCAGAGAAAAATTACAGCACGGTTGAAAAGGAATTACTAGTCGTAGGTATGAAGAAATATTATTTTTAATTATATGGTGGCTGTAAGAGCTGTAACGAGCGGGATGGTTGTCCGCCACTCGTTTGCTTGTTAGTGGCCCCAATAGGGCGGAGAGACAGAGGTGAGAAGGTTGCTGCTGCCTCGTCGCACGTCAGACACGATCCAGCCTTCACCACAGCTGCTACTTCACCCCGCTGTTCGATTCCAACTCTGGTTGTGTACTCATCTGAGGTTCCTGGGGCTCGTGGGCTGATTCCCCCAGTCCTTTACTATTCGACTGTCAACTCTGGACACCTACTCCAGCTGCTACCGCGGCTGCCACGTGATCGCCACTTCCTCCTCACCCTATCCACCGTTCGTGCCCTGGCGTCTCTCCTGTGTGGCAAGACATCGCCCACCAACGCTGACACCAAGTGAGTGGTGTCAGAGTTAAATTATTGTGATTATTTTCGTACTAAAGAGATGTCAATCTTTAACGGTTGTTTGTTACCCCTTGGAAACCCATACTTCTTGACTTTCCTTTTTATAAGATCCTGATTAGGCTGGCAAAGGATTTATATTCCAAAGGCCAGGCCAGTGGAAAAATTTTTCTTAGAAACAGATCACATGCCCTTAACAAGCCTCCGCACCTCTAGAAACTCAAATGCAAGATTAACACCGTGGGCGTTATACCTTCAGCAATTCAATTTCATGGT